TCGGGTTTTGTACTACAGAGCAGGGTCTTGCAGGGGAAGCTCCGGAGCAAAAAATATATATAAAACTGCTTGGACACAGAGTTTTAAAGAATGAATCTGTGCCTGGAAATAACAGGGCAAAAGGTAAGTTTGGATGAGCTCCCTATTCAGATTTCTGCTCCCCATGACCGGAAAGTGTATCATATGAACAGCAATGGCTGGCAAATGGGATCTTCTATTCTATTTCCACACCAGGCCTGGCCACCAGTCGGACTGATGGATCAACCCGATCCCGTCTACTCTAGACAGTACAAAGAGGAACCGTACGCCGCCCTGCAAATTCTTTACACCGACAGTATTCAAAGTATGCACAAGTGCAAGCTTTGGAGTGTGCAAGCTTTTGGAGTGACACAAAACCCTTTTTCAGGCTTGGATGTGTATCCTATCTATCTATCTATCTATCTATACCGTATTTTTCGCTCCATAGGGCGCACCAGACCATAGGGCACACCTAGTTTTTAGGGGGGGGAATAAAGGGGGGGATTATTCCCCCCCCCAGCCCCAAAGAGCAAAGAAGTCTTCCTCTTTAGCCACGCGCAACCTCTCCAGCTGGGAGAAACTGCGCGCGGCTTTGTTTTTAGCCACGGGGCTGGGACGGGGGAAGCCCGAGCTTCCACGACCCCAGCCCCCAGAGCAGGCTGCTATCCGCAAACCTTCGGAGCACTCCCAAGGCTTGCGGATAGCTTCCTGAAGCCTGGAGAGCGAGAGGGGTCGCACCGACCCCTCTCACTCTCCAGGCTTCAGTCAAAGCCTGCATTCGCTCCATAGGACGCACACACATTTCCCCTTCATTTTTGGAGGGGAAAATGTGCGTCCCATAGAGCGAAAAATATGGTATATAAAATCTGCCTTTGAAGCAGGCACAGTGTTAGACTTACAACTGCGTTCTTGCCTACAGGTTGAGGTGTTGTTTTTTTCAGTTTGAAGACAAAAAAAGGAGGAAACGTTTTCAAGGTTTTGCCAATCTTAACCAGGGTGTGCCCTAGGGCAGGGGTGGCTAACCTGTTCTGGATTCCTCGACTTCTCTATCCCTTCCCCATGCGTACTTTTTAATTTCCCCAACATCCTCTTTTAACACAATACACGGGGGGGGGGGGGGACTGGCTTGCTGTTCCCCTGGCAAACCATCATTTGGCAGGCCAGACCATGACATAAATTAGGAGAGTGACGAGTGTTGTCTCAGACCGGGAATCTCCACCGGTCATGTCTCCTAATCACCTGGGATCGGTTGCATCCCCCCAACAGGGACCCACGAGCTGAGATTCCTGCATTGCAGGGGGTTGGACTAGATGACCACTGGGTCCCTCCCAGCTCTCCAATTCTACTGTCGTGGTGAGTGGGCTTGCATGTTCCTATGGCCCTTGTGAGCGAAGCCGTCAGGAATCTCGGACTCCCAGCAGGGTCACCCAAGATCAAAGGCAGGGGTAGGCAACCTAAGGTCCGTGGTCCGGATAAGGCCCAATCGCCTTCTCAATCCAGCCCGCGGATTGTCTGGGAATCAGCGTGTTTTTGCATGAGTAGAATGTGTCCTTTTCTTTAGACACAGGCCATAACATACAATTTGAGGATTGGATAAAATTATGGAAAGTAAATTGGAAATTTACAGATTGCATATTATTGAGAGAGAATTATTGAGATGCTTTTGAATTCTGGTGCTGGAGGAGACTCTGGAGAGTCCCATGGACTGCAAGAAGATCCAACCGATCCATTCTGAAGGAAATCAGCCCTGAGTGCTCACTGGAAGGACAGATCCTGAAGCTGAGGCTCCAATACTTTGGCCACCTCATGAGAAGACAAGACTCCCTGGAAAAGACCCTGATGCTGGGAAAGATGGAGGGCACAAGGAGAAGGGGACGACAGAGGATGAGATGGTGGGACAGTGTTCTCGAAGCTACCAGCATGAGTCTGACCAAACTGCGGGAGGCAGTGGAAGAAAGGAGGGCCTGGCGTGCTCTGGTCCAGGGGGTCACGAAGAGGCGGACACGACTAAATGACTAAACAACAACAACAACATGCATCCCAGGCTCTGCTCAGCTCTGCCTTTAAAGAGCTGTGCGGAGCGTGTGTGCGGCACTTGGGGGCTTTTCCCCAAGGAGGGAGAAAGGCAGCCCGTCAGTGGGAGGGTGTTCCACAGGGCAGGCGCCACTACCGAGAAGACCCTCTGCCTGCTTCCCTGACACCTCACTTCTCGCAGGGAGGGAACCGCCAGAAGGCCCTCGGTGCTGGACCTCAATGTCCGGGCAGAATGATGGGGGTGGCGACGCTCCTTCAGGTGTACTGGAGTGAGGACGTTTAGGGCTTTCAAGGTCAGCACCAACACTTTGAATTGTGCCCGGAAACGTACTGTGAGCCAATGTAGGTCTTTCAGGACCGGTGTTATATGGTCTCGTATTTATTATTTGCTGCTAAAAGTCAATACAATTTCCTTATTCAATGTACAGTGGACGTTCGGGTTGCGAACGTGATCCGTGCAGGGTGCACATTCGCAACCCACAGAATCTGCAACCCACAGCGGCATGTCTGCACATGTGCAGGTTACGATTCAGTATCCTGAGCATGTGCAAAGCGCAATTTAGCGGTTCTGCACATGCGTTACCACTGAAACCCGGAAGTAACCCGTTCCGGTACTTCCAGGTTTCAGCGGTCCGTAACCCGAAAAAACACAACCTGAAGCGTCTGTAACCTGAGGTATGACCGTATTCCCGTCGTTTGCTTGCTTGCTTGCGGGAGTGATAGTTTCAAAACCAACAAATAATTCTCTAGTGATTGCATTGCACCACGAGGCCCTTTAGCAAAATTTCGCACTCCTGCAACTAAATCCTCTTGTCTGGAAGGCTAAATCCGAACGGCCGAGCCCTCTAGGGCAAAAGGCGAGGTGCAAGCTAAGAAAGGGCGCCGGCGAGCACGCAAGGGCAGCATCCTCTCCTGCCACCCTCTCCCAGAGGCGCTGGCGTTGCAAAACAGTTGCCGGATGTGGGGGCAGAAGGAGTTTCCTGCAGCTAAAAAAAGGAATGCTAAAAGAAACGGCTGCACATCACAGTCACAATTTGGTGACTCACAACTTGCTCCTTCTCTCTCGGCCGTCGCCACAAGCACCTGCCTGCCCGTGCGGGACGTTGACAGGAGCTAGCAGCCAGGATGCAACCCGACGACGTCACAAAGCACTTTTCAAAAGAGGGAAGCATTGCCCAGTCTCTTCAATGACCTTTGCGACCGAAACCAGCAAACCTCAACTGATGCAGAAAGGGAGCTAAGGGCAAAGGTCCGGCCTCTGTATGCTCCTTCGCCAACCTGTTGCCCCCTCCAGATTATTTTACGCCTCAAACTCCCGTGGGTCCCAGCTAGCACACCGTCAATGCCAGAGTCACGAATAAGCTAAACAAACTGTAGCTTAGGGCCCCACTTTCTTGGGGGGGGGCCCAAAAATTAAAGGGGGAAAAACTGGACGTACATTTCCTAAATATAAGATGAAAAGCAAATAAGATAAAACCTGCATACAGCAACAGTGTTTTGTGTAGTGTAGGCTCCTAGGATGTAAGCAATGGCCCCCGCCTGCTCGCCTGCTCCCTAAAATATCACTGCTTTGCTCCTTTCTATATATAGGGTGCCTACATTCTGCATGGACTGGTTGCATAGAAACTGGTTTTTAGAGACTAGATTATGAGTGTCTGTAAATTGTGTTTCTAAAGGAACTTTTGTTATTGCCAAATGCCAATGTGTTTGCATTATTAAGTTTGTTATGAATCAAAAATCATTTTAACTTAGAGCTTAATAATTATTTCACTATTAATATACTTCTTCTTAATTGTATTTCACTATTAATATACTTCTTCTTAACTGTATTTCAGTTCAACAATTACTTTGATAAAATGCATATTGTGTTATGTGCAAATGGCTTGAGATACCTATTAGGTCCATAAATTACCATATAGCGTATATACAACACAAAAAACGGCAACAGTTTGTTGTTGACAAAGGACAGCTGGACATATAAAGGGCCCCATTACCTCCAGTAGCTTAGGGCCTCATCAAACCTAAATCTAGCCCTGACACAGTCCAAAACATACTCAGCCGGTTATGTTCCTGCACTGCAGGGGGCCAGGTCTAGATGATCTTTGGGGGTCCCTTCCAACTCTACAATTCTAGAATTCTACTGCTTTATAGTATTGGGACTGTGGGTTATTCAACAGAGACGTCCATTTGGACTGCTCATCGCTTTGCTGAACTAATACACAGCATTTGGGCACCGCGGCGCATGGTTAACCTACGGAACTCCCTTCCACAGTGATGGCCGCAATAGAAGGCTTTAGAAGAGGATTCGACAAGTGCATGCAGGAGAGGGCCCTTGAGGGCTACTAGACCCGGTGGCCAATGGCCCATCCAGCCTGGCGTCCTGGTCTTCTTGTGTGAAACCTGCATGCAGGATCCGAGCACAAGGGCAATTCTCTGCCCTCCTGTTCAGAAGCATCATTGCCTCTGGCCATGGCTAGCGGCCATCAATCGTGCTCTCTCTTCCTGGAAGCTGCCATCTGGGTTTCTGCCCATCCCTGCCCCTTGTGGGAGGGAGTTCCACAGTTTAATGACAAGCTACACAAAGAAGGGCTTCCTTTTACCTGTCCTGAATCTCCCAACACCAAGAATATAGGAAACTAGGAAGAGCCGGCTGGATCAAGCCAATGGCCCCCTGCTCTCGCTGGGGCTGACCTGACGCCTGGGGGAAACCGGTGAGCAGGATTCGAACACAGGAGCCCTCTCCCTTCCTGCCGTTTCCAGAAAGCAAGGGTTGCAGTTTGCCCCAGTCTAGTAAAACTGGAAAGGGGAAGGAGATCACCCTGCCCGGATCGCATCGCAAGGCTGACTTTTCTCTCTGGGTTGTTGGTAAACAAGAAACGGGTAAAAATAGCCCAACTCAGCTAATTTAAGCTTCCTGAAAACGTTTACATACCAACGGCCCATCATGCTGCTTTGCGGCTAGAGATTCTTTCCCAACGCTAAACCGCTCTAGGAGAAATCCACCAGCCCTCCCAGAGCAGAACACTTCACTTTGAAAAACACACACACACTCCAAAAACCCCGTCCTCTCCCAGGAAACGACTTCTCCCAGAAGTTACTAGCGGAAGCAGAACAGCTGAGTCAACCAAGAGGAACTGCTCCACCTCAGACTGGGCCCTCCTTCAGTCTCCACTTGAGCCGCTGTTCCTGCATCGCAGGGGTTTGGACTAGATGGTCCCTGAGGTTCCCTTTCCAGCTGTACATCTCTATGATTCTACATGGAAAACTCAAACAAGGACACGGTGCTGTTGGAGGGAGAAAATGACCTAGCATCTTTTCAACACTCCTGTAGCTGTCAAACCCTCATTAGCCGCAGCTAAATTTAGTTCCAAGGTAAGTTTACTCTATAAAAAAAGGAAAGCTTCGTTAAAAAGGTATTAAGTGCAGAGGCTCAAGGGTACATTAAGGTACAGAACCGACTGCAGGTGTTTGGCTCCTGCTGCTCACCTTGAAGGACAGTAGAAATTTAAAACTAATTAGTACATTAAATCAGGCTTCCTGATCTAACCAAGTTTGTCCAACATTATTAAATTTGTATACTGCCCTCCATCTAAAGAGCAGGACCTGCAATTGCCTCAGGTCGCTTCGAAAATCTACCAGGAATGCTTCAACTTGCTACTGCATCAAAGAACTGCACTCTCCATTTTTGCAGCTGCATCACATCTGTGGCTTTTAGGCGCTGAGTAATAAACCGATAGCATCTTAAAAAGCAGAGACATCACCTTGCCAACAAAGGTCCGTATAGTTAAAGCTCTGGTTTTCCCAGTAGTGATGTATGGAAGTGAGAGTTGGACCATAAAGAAGGCTGATCGCCGAAGAATGGATGCTTTTGAATTCTGGGGCTGGAGGAGACTCTTGAGAGTCCCATGGACTGCAAGAAGATCAAACCGATCCGTTCTGAAGGAAATCAGCCCTGAGTGCTCACTGGAAGGACAGATCCTGAAGCTGAGGCTCCAGTACTTTGGCCACCTCATGAGAAGAGAAGACTCCTTGGAAAAGACCCTGTGTTGGGAAAGATGGAGGGCACAAGGAGAAGGGGACGACAGAGGACGAGGTGGTTGGACAGTGTTCTCGAAGCTACAAACATGAGTTTGACCAAACTGCGGGAGGCGGTAGAAGACAGGAGTGCCTGGCGTGCTCTGGTCCAGGGGGTCACGAAGAGGCGGACACGACTAAACGACTCAACGACAAATAAACCGATATCAGTTAAAACTGTAAAATCAGAATGCATTTAAAAGGCCTGTTGGGTTTATTTATTTTTTGAGTTTTCAGCAGACACCAGCAGACCTCAGCGAGAGGGCAAAGATATAAGGGATCAGGCAGTCCCTGAGAGATCCTGGACCCAGGATCCAGGGCCGTGTAAAATAACAGAAGAAATCTGAACCTGGCCCAAGAGCATACGGGCAGCTGAACATCAGAGTGATGCGCTGGCAAGCTTGTTTTCTGCTGCTCCAGAGGGAAGGACCTGAACCAATGGGTTCATAGAATTATAAGAGTTGGAAGGGACCTCAGGGGTCATCTAGTCCAACCCGCTGCACTGCAGGAATCACAACTCAAGCATCCATGGCAGATGATGCTCTTCCCATTCTTTTTGAAATGTTTCATTGCCCTGTTGTCAAATTTCCCCCGTTAATTTGGCTATTCCTGCATATTCCATGACCTTGTACTTCCACTCTTCTACTGTTGGCAATTGTTGTTGCTTCCAGACCTGAACCAGCAGTAACCTCGCCGCTGTTGTTGCTTATAGGAACAATTTCAGATCTTTCTTGTCAATATCCGCTCCCACCCATCTTTCCTAATTTCAGTTTGTTCACTGATCACAGACCACCGTCTTCCAATTTGCGCATCACGCCAGAGAGCCCCAGGACGATGCCAGCGGAACGGATGGCTCACCGTCACGGGGTCTCCACTCGCCGCAGTCCTGGCAAGGGCTGTGTCGTTCTTGCATCACCCTGGGCTCCTTCTTCTTCTGCTTCTCACACTCCTCCTACGTCACCCAAGGACCCGGGACAGTCCGGGGAACACACACAGGGTGAGTCACAGCCACAAGCCCATCTCCGCGTGTGCAAAATCTGCATCTTTTACTGCTCAGAAGCACTCGAGTTGCAGAAACGGTTGTGATAAGATTGTGAAAGCATCTACATTACCAAAGGGAGCTTCTGGTCATTTGAGACTGGTGTTTTAATGCAGCGACGGAAAGCAAACGTAACCCCAGGCACCCCGTGATTTTTGTGCAATTGCAGTTCACAGCACAAACTTTATACGCACAAACAATCCTTACGTCCCTGCTCAGAAGCGGGGGCCGTTCAGCTCAACAGGACTTACTCCCAGGTAAACGTGCGATAAGACTGCAGTCATCATGACCTAAATAAGTATTCAAAGGGTACACCAACGACTACGGGCTTGCGCCTGAGTTTTCTTATTTCCTTTTCCCTGACAATCCATTTTCCTTTTGTGTTGTGTGTTTTTTAGATTGCATTTCCCTCTGGCCTCCCAAAGACCAAGAGCATTACAGGGCCCACAAAAGCTGCAGAGAAGGAAGGAAGGAAAGAAAAGGGGAGGGGGGAGAGAGAGATCCAGCCTTTTCCTCCTCTTCTTCCTCTCCCTGCCTCAGCCACAACTGTGTCCCTATCCCAGTCACAAATCCCCACCAAGTCCTTGCAAAATGCATTCCTGCCCAGGATTAGGCAACGGGCATTAACGGCTTTTGTAAGAGACTTAGAAATTCTTGCAGCATCCCTTCTAGAGGAGAAGAAGAAGAAGAAGAAGAAGAACATCATACACAATACACAAATCCACCCTCATTAAACGTGAACATAACATACAGTGAGCATAACATACAACAATACAAACAACCAAATAAAAGACTTCCTTTATCCTGTATCTGGCCTCCTTATTTACTTCTTATAAACTGTTTCCTTTATGAATACGTATTAAGATTTTTCTAATTACAATGGTACCTCGGGATGCAAACGGGATCCGTTCCGGAGCCCTGTTCGCATCCTGAATGGAATGTAAGGCGCGACGGCGCGAGCGCGGGTAGCGTTTTGCCGCTTCCGCGCATGAGCGTGACGTCGGTTTGAGCATCTGCACATGCGCGAGTGGCGAACCTGGAAGTAACACGCTCCGTTACTTCTGGGTTGCCGCTGTAGCCCACACCCCAATCATTCTGTTTGTATAAACTTCACACACACACACTCACACACTACATACGCCACATTTCTGTTATAAATTCATAGAAAATCAACCATACATCGGATTTGCACTGTTCCATTTTTATTTTACTCCATATTACAAGAACTAACAAAGGGGGGTGGCTTGGCCCTGGTCAGCCAAAATCCCTTCACCGTCTCAGCACATCTGCAGGAGCGCTGCCCAGATGATCCCAGACAGAAGACAATCAAGACCACAAAGAACTTGCATATGGGAGTGGATTCAGCATGGACTGAAACAAAGGACAATGATCAGATCTTCCCTCAGGGGGCAGGAAACTGCAAACTCCCCTTTGTCTCCTGGAAGTGACTCATGGGAGGGGGAAAGGAGGAACCAGCCAGGTGACAAGACACTCAGGTTACCACCAACTCCTCCCTCAACCCCTCCTTTCTGTAATGTATGCATGATGTTTCTGGGGGTGGGCTTGACCTAGAGGAGGGGAATTTCAAAAGTTTTTATGAGACCTGGCACACTATTTTTCTGGGTCTTTCCTCTCACCTGCAAGTGAGGGGAACACCCTGTCGCGACAGTCTTTCTTCAATAAAGACCAAGCCTACAGGCTGCTGATTTGCTTCAATTTACTCTGGTTGGTGTCTTTACTTTTTGTCCAAGGGAGCCCTCAGATTTTTCCGGTAACACCGCGGAGCACAGCCCGAAAGCGCTCAACCTGAAGCACATTCAACCCGAGGTATGACTGTATAACTTAAATATCCACAGAGTCTCCTGCAGGCATTAATCGAAACAAGTCCAGTTATGTATTTTAGGGCACTGTTTTGTGAAGTGTTCTCTTCATTTCCCCCATGCTTTTTGAAACGCTTGTCTAGTGTGATCTCCAATTGCCTCTGTTAATCTAGCCAGTTCAATATACTCTAACAGTTTGTCTTGCCATTCCCTCTTTTGTTGGCACAGTTCCTTTTTTTCCAGTTTTTGGCAATTAGGATCCTTGCCGCTCCTGTGGCCTAGAGGAATATTTTCTGATCTTCTCTTGCTATACCTGTGTCTGTTATCCCTAGTAAAAAAGCTTCTGTATTTTTCATAAAGTTATATTTAAACATTTTTTTAAGCTCGTCATACACTGTGTTCCAGAAGCTTTTGGTTTTTTTCACAGGTCCACCAAACATGTAGAAGTGTCCCCTCTGTTTTACCACACCTCCGGCACAGATTTGTTTTTGTCTTATACATTTTAGCTATTTTGGTAGGTGTTCAGTACCATCTATAAAACATCTTGATTAGGTTTTCCCTCAATACTGCACAGGCTGTAAATTTCCAGTACTTTCTCCATAGTTCTTCCCATGCTGTTAAGCTAATGGTTTTCCTGATATCTAAAGCGAGGGAGTGTGGAGCAAATAAGCAGAGAGAGATAGAGAGAACATCAGAGGGAACATTTCAGGGGGTGGGCACCAAATACAGGAGGTCCGCATCTTGGTCCCCACCAAGGGCAGGACAGCTCTGGGCATCCGCAGAGGCCTCCAGGGCATGTCAAGAGTATGACCAGTAGATGGTACTTCCCCACTTAGTCATGTATCCCCACAAGAACCCTGTGAGGTAGGGCACACTGAGAGTGAGTGACAGCCCCCACCCCTCAAGGTCACCCAATGAGCATCATGGCTGAGTGGGGAGGGGATCTGAACCCTGGCACTCTAACCACTACACCACACTGTCCTAAAATAACTGTACAGCTGTAGCCATTTTGGTACACACGCAGAATAATAATAGTAATAATTATAATTCATTGCCCCTCTACTGCACCTCAGTTCCCAATACAACCCTGCGAGGTAGGGCAGGCAGAGAGTGGCTGGCCGAATGTCACTCACCGAGCTTCCTGGCTAGGTGGGAATTCGAACCCAGGTCTCCTGAGCCAGAGATTAAATAAGGAGCGGGGGATAAGCCCATGTCAGCCACCTTGAGCAATGTAAAGAAAGAAACGTGGGATAGAAAGGCAATCTTTTGCACGTTCAGCAAAAGCTTCCTGCATTGCAGGGGGTTGGACTAGATGACCCTGGGGGTCCCCTCCCAAAGCTACAATTCTGATTCTATGAAATAAAATACGCTTGGTGGCATTTGATGTGTTCATCTGCCAGGTGGTGTCAGGACGTTAGAGGGCGCGGTCCCGGAAAGCTGTGGAGTAATGAGGAGGAGGGTACATTATCTGAACATGCGCAAAGTACCCCATCCCAACCAGGGCCTGTCATCCCATTTGCGTCTCTGGGCTTGCTATATGTGCAGCCATGCCATGGGAATCCCATGCACAACGTCACACCAGCTGTGCCTGGCTAGTTCTCTTCCTCACTGTGTTTCTGGGTCAAGGTCCCAGAAGGAGAAATACTTGGGGTCATCACTTGCTCCTCAACAGGCACCAACTCAACAGGTGAAGCTTCTTTTCCAGAAGCAGCTGAAGGACTGTCAGCCTACGAACCCTGCAGTTATTTAAGGGCAGAAACAGAAATAGCTGGGGTCTATTTCAACACGGGAGGCAGTGGAAGACAGAAGTGCCTGGCATGCTCTGGTCCATGGAGTCACGAAGAGTCGGACATGACTAAACGACTAAACAACAACAATATTTCAACACACAAGTTCCTTTCAATATAAATAAAAGGTAAAGGTAAAGGTACCCCTGCCCATACGGGCCAGTCTTGACAAGACTCTAGGGTTGTGCGCCCATCTCACTCTATAGGCCGGGGGCCAGCGCTGTCTGGAGACACTTCCGGGTCACGTGGCCAGCGTGACAAGCTGCATCTGGCGAGCCAGCGCCCCACACGGAACGCCGTTTACCTTCCCGCTAGTAAGCGGTCCCTATTTATCTACTTGCACCCGGGGGTGCTTTCAAACTGCTAGGTTGGCAGGCGCTGGGACCGAGCAACGGGAGCTCATCCTGTCATGGGGATTCGAACCGCCGACCTTTCCATCGGCAAGTCCTAGGCACTGAGGCTTTAACCCACAGCGCCACCCGCGTCCTTCAATATAAATAGACATTTATATTTATTCAATATAAATAGACATGCAGAAATGCATATGTACGTTTAAAAGCGGTAGACCTAAGATGCCATTTTTTAAAAAGCTTATATTGACTCCTGCGGATTTAAGGCCTAGCTGACCGCTCGGCACATTCCTCCAAGCGTATAATAGTGTTCCGCAAAGCCAGTCTCGCCAAATTTGCACGAGTGGAATTAGCGTGAGCGAAAACCACCCGCCAAAGACAAAAACGAACGGCGCTTCTTCGTGCAACTCCATGAGGGACATCGACCGTGTGGCAGACTATGGCAAGCCAGCCTGTACACTCTTCCTCCAACCAATAATATTATTTCAACAGATGCTTATCCTGCTGTTCCCCTAGTGGGTCAGCGGACGTTGCTCATCGTCAGTCAGAAAAAGAGAGAAAGGAAGGGGAAAGAGATGCATTTTGGACAGCAAAAAGGGGTTGAACTGCTCTGAGAGAGCAGTGGCTAGCAGATTCAGATTACAGTGGTACCCTGGTTCTCAAACTTAATCCGTTCCATAAGTCCGTTCCAAAACCAAAGCGTTCCAAAACCAAGGCACGCTTTCCCATAGAAAGTAACGCAAAATGGATTAATCCGTTCCAGACTTTTAAAAACAACCCCTAAAACAGCAATTTAATTTGAATTTTACTTTCTAACGAGACCATTAATCCATAAAATGAAAGCAATAAACAATGTACTGCAGTCACACAATCAATCAGTAGCTGAACTGGGTTCCACACAGTCACAAAAACAAACAAAAAAAGAGCCGCAAAAACACAAATGCAAAATAAATAGCAAAAGCAGACAGAGTAACACTCAAAATGGAGCACGTTTGGCTTCCGAAAAAAGTTCGCAAACCAGAACACTTACTTCTGGGTTTGCAGTGTTTGGGTTCCAAGTTGTTTGAGAACCAAGGTGTTTGAGAACCAAGGCACCACTGTATTGTAGCAATCTTATGGCTCATTAAAGCAGGCTTCCCCAGCCAGCTTGCCTTCCAGATGTTTCGGACTACAATACCCATCAACCCCAACCAGCACGGACATATGATTCTGTGCCTGATGGGAGCTGTAGTCAGTGATGTCAGAAGGGCACCAGGTTGGGGAAGGGTGGAGTAGAGCAAAGCAATGCATCTTGCAGTCTTCAATGATGATTATAAGAAGCAGAGAACAGGGTGCTGGATGAGGCCAAGGGGGCATTTAGTCCAGCATCAGTGCTGGGGGCACTGTCATACGGTGGTTCCGCGCCTTCCTCCTGGGCCGTGTTCAGAAAGTGGGGGGATGAGTGTTCAGACCCCTGGGCTCTCACTTGTGGGGTGCCTCAGGGTTCTGTCCTCTCCCCCATGCTTTTCAACATCTACATGCAGCTGCTGGGAGAGATCATCAGGGGGTTTGGGCTGGGTGTCCATCAGTATGCGGATGACACCCAACTCTACCTCTCTTTCAAATCGGAACCAGTGAAGGCGGTGAAGGTCCTGTGTGAGTGTCTGGAGGCGGTTGGAGGATAGATGGAGGCTAAGAGATTGAGGTTGAATCCTGACAAGACAGAAGTACTGTTTTGGGGGGACAGGAGGTGGGCAGGTGTGGAGGACTCCCTGGTTCTGAATGGGGTAACTGTGCCCCTGAAGAACCAGG